TTGTGCAATTAAGGACTATCTTCACTATCCCAATTTGCAATTATCCATTTTGTTCGGATTTTTCCATCTGCTTCTTCTTTCCCCCTTCCTTCCTTTTCCTTTGTGCTCCAACAGCCTCGCCTTTCCCCAGATTATCTGTGTTCAAGAAGTATGGCAGTAGCTTTACATTTTGACAATTGTCTCAATATTTGATGGAAGGCCTAAAAAACCCTTGAACATTGTGAAATGTTTAGGGTGAAATTCACCGTGAATCTGTACTTTTGCATCAATCAGAGTCTCTTAACAGACTTTATATTCTTTGCATAGGTCAAGCATTTATTGAAGCACTACTGATTACAAGTGTGGTTCAAATATATGTATTGATCAAAACCTTCACACGGATTCAGAGTATAAAAACAATACAAAAATTCAGTACAAAATGTAAAGGCATTTAGATTGTAAAAAAGTAAATGATTTCATGAAAGAACTTCTACGTAGGCGTAGTGACCTGATTACACTCTCCATAAAAATAATGAATATCTCATTAAAAAAATGAATGTTTTTCCAGAAGGACGTAATTTCCATCAGGATTGTGTCTGAAATGTTTGTCAAATTTGCAGTGCGATTTCTATAAAATGTGAATTTGGAGGAGGCTGCGTTGTCCTTGGTCTTTCATTTTCTCAAACATGTCAGTCACTACACTTCAGAATTCATGCCTCCATCTGACACACCAACATGCACAACACATGAACTTGTGCACACTTTTTAATGACCCATTCTCAGTGGTCTTAACCAATCATTTCATTCAAACTGTGACATTGTACCTCATTTGGTTTTTGCATATCAAAGCACTCAGTAAATTTCAATTGAGTCTAAGAAACAAGGACATGGAAAAACAAATTTATGGCTTTGCAGAATGTTGGCATATTACAAACTTTATTGGTCAGTAACGGAAGATTAAATTTGAGGATGCGACTTTCTTCTGTTGCTAAAAATCTCATACGTGATTCCAGTGACTAGGTACGTACGTAGCTTGTCTCATCCACTTTGTCAAACACGGCCAATCTATATTTTCTACATTCCAAGCATAGGATTTGATCAAATTTCAGTTCTTGCGACTGGAATTTTTAAGAAATGGTTCCCTGACAAGCTTCTATACTTGTTGCAATACAAGTGCTAGAAAGTCAGTATATGAACTCTGTGGTTTGAATACTTCACAGTGCTGTTGCTGTTTTGTCAACTGACCAGCATCAGTGAGTGTTTCAGGGCGCTCAAAGATGAGGCCTTCAATGGCAAAAAAATGGTCAGGAAATTGTGAGGGGTCTTCTTCAAAACAACTGGTTATACCTGTTGGCTTGAGAGTAACGTGGTAGAGTGCAAAAGACACCCTTCTAATTTAATCCAAATTGTTACGTCGGGCAGAGTGCGAGTTTAAAGAGTATACATGTAAACTAGCCTGTTTCCCAATCACCCGGCTGTGACTGGCAATATTACACAAGTCTATGGGAAATGGCAGCAGCCACTAGGCTCATGGCTTTCATAGTTTCATGTGCTATTTCTAGCCATAGCCAGGTAGTTTGGAAATGGCCTACAAGCACAAGACAAATGATTATACATTTTTTAAAAAGTCACACTAAAATAGAATATTTTTAAAAAATGAGACACTGTAAATGGTAGATTCCGTTAAAGAGACTTGCATGCATGGATGGGTGTTCTAAATCAACATAAAAATCAGTAGTAAAATCACTTGTGTCTTAAAATTCAATATTCTTAAAAAATTCCAGAAATCGTAGTCAGTACTGACGCATCAAGTCAAACCTTTAAGAAGTCCTCTGAATTCTCCAACAGTCAGCCTGCGGGAAAGACAAAATCAAAACAATAAACAAATGTTCTGAACTGTCACTTGGGTCAAACACTTTCCTCAGGCAGCAATATTCGCGGTGTGTTTCAACACACTCTGCTCTTTCTACATAAATGCCAGTGAGAAACACGCCAAACGTTAAAACCTTTCATCTCTTTCCACGTGACAAAGTTACCACTGAAGCTTAAAAGCGACATGAAAGTAGGTCAGTTTTCAAGCAGCATGGAGACTAAGATTACACCAAATTGTGGCCTTATGTTGGATCTAAAGGAGACAGTAGCAGAAATGGATCATAATGGTCGACTACCTGCAGGAGCAGTGTCTCACCTAGCCACCTGAGGACAGGCAAAAGTAACTTCTTTCGGGCAGTTTTTGCTCGCAAACGATTCGCAACCCCTAATTATTTTATATGAATCTTTAACACTAATGATAAAAATCTTCATATTTCATTCCAAAACACTGCACACAGACAGCACCAAATTTCCTGGGAGTGGGCGGTAGATTTTAATCTTTACTGAAAAGGACTAGTAGATACTGAAACAGTAGATGAAACCCGGATGGAAAAAAGTAGCATAAATGCATGTTGAACATGCAAGAAATATACAGCACTTGGTTACGTAAAAAAATTGTTTAGTTACTTCTTACACCACAAAAATTTTCGACTGATGGAAGGCACCATCAGTCCTTTGCAAGGAAAAATATCGCATGCGGTCTTCTTCAGAACATATCCTCCGGTGTAAAAAACAAATGGAAACAGATGCCATCTTCCCCATGCACTGACCTCCCGCACAAAAAGCCATCCGACACTTGTGACTTGCTCTGAAAAAATGACTCAAACATGAAGCTCACTTGTTTAGGACTCAGATTCCATCTTGGACAAGTCCTCGGCCCTGGCTCCACCCTCAGAGGTGACATCATCGATGCCTGTCTCCATGACGCTGGCATAGTTGGGGTTGTCAAAGCTCGCAGTCAGGGTCTCCGGAGGCAGACCCTTACCCTTCTTGGTCTCCTTCTTCAGATCGTTGGAGTCGACCTCGGTGAGGTCCATTGTGGCCACCTTGGTGGGGTCATCGTACAGGTTATCCTGCAGAGGGAAGGGGAGTCAACATACAACTGAATGTACACAAAACAATGTGGATAAAGCCAGTGCACGTTAGTGATGAGGTGCAGTCACCAACAATGCCATGCTTAAGACAGGTGCATATGTTAGCGTTTGTATTATAAATTGGGCAGTTCAGGTCAAGTGGCTTCTCATAAGTGTTGTTTGAAGCTTTGCATGATGAAGTGGTATATACAGGGAAGTATTGTTGTGGACATTTTATGGAAGTAATCTCTTTCAGAATGAAGTGGTGGCTCTGGGAAGATTGGAGGTGAGAAAATTTCAAACAGGTATGCAACTTGGACTTTGACAAAAGACGAGGAAATTCCAATCTTTACAAGATCTTATGGTGTTTTTCAATTTTCAATGGCTTGAGCGGGAAGTGAAAAACGAGGAAATCAGCTGATCCAAGGGAAAAGTTGCATGCCTGGTTGAGTGGTGTGCCCTGTTTTTTCTTTCCCAAAGATGAAAAGAGATCACTTTTCAAAATGTTTGAGACCCTCCTCAGGTCAGGTTCTTCACAGAGCCAACATCTTAAGAAACTGTTTCCATAATGTAAATGTAAATAGCACTTCCCTCTTAAGTGGTTTCTTTTTCAGCACACGTTGTTCAACCGGGCACGGCTCTTTTAGTCATGATTTTTTGGGGTTGGACGGAACAATTTTCATTTGTACTTCCTGAGCAGGTTTAAGCACAGTGACCAAGAAGGATTCAAGTATCAAGCTGAAGTGAATTAAAATTCTTCATCTGCAGTGGTTACCTTTGGAATTAGATAAAATGAGTCCTGTTTCCACCTGACTCATATAGGCTCTCCACTGCGATGTTCACCTTAACTACCCAGAGTCACTCAAACTCCAACTGTAGGTGTCGTCATGCTTTGGCTGATTCGGCAGCATATATTATGAACTTGTCGGTCAACTTTGTTGGATTCAGGAAAAAAAGGCCTAGGGTGATAGCGTTGGATTTTGTTTGAGTGGAGACACACAGCTAGTTGGTCAGTAGAAAGACTAGCTTGTGGAACTGTATGGCTGGACTGGATGATTTTGTCATCTTTGGTTCAACTACTCTACAAGTTAGCCATACACTGCAGAGACCTAACGATATCCATACCAAATGATTCAAGCTTCAACACTGTTGACCCGTTGGGGTTTTACAGATTCTGTCCAGCCACTTGTCAGTAATTATTGTAACCCCTTTATATATTCAATATGTATCGGTTAAACTTTGTTAACCCCAGGGGGTTAGGTTAAGTCTGTTCTAGAAATGTCAGGTATTTCTGCAAGTGTCACGTTCAACAAACTTTGAGAAAGCAGCTCCTGTATTTATGGCTTGCCCAACGACACAAAATTACAAAATTAAATTCAAATGCGTACCTCCGCAGATGGTGTGTTGTAGACAGGGTTGTCAAAGCTCTGCATGTACATAGCTGCTGGCTGGCCTGGAATGGTCTCCATGAAACCAACAGGGATGTCTGCCGCTATCTCCATGTCAGCATGCAGCGGCTGGTCCTTGGAAAAGAAGGGAGTGCTGCAAGGAAGAAGATTATAAAGTGATTGCTTTGACTTTATGCAGTTTGACTGGTATCCACTGGGAAGGGTAGCAATCCAGAAACACACCCCCCCATTAGATTCAAAGGACAAGTACTTGGTGAAATCAAAGAAAGGATACAATGCATCCTTCAGCATTCACAGAGACCTTAAAACCTCACCGCTTCAGAAGAATTTAAACAGTGAAAAACCATATACTATTCTGAATTATTGAGTCCCATTGACATTAAGTCGAACTTATCATGGCAGCAGTTGGGGTATGTGCTTTCTTTCGGCTCAAGTATCACGTACTACAAAGTACCACAAACATCTAAAACAAATGGCCAGGGAATTTCACACCTCCGTTGACTTCGAGTAGCATTTTGTAGCTTTAGGTCAGGGACACAAGAACCTTGCATAGTGTAAAGCAATAGGAAACCTAGACATTTAACACCTACATGATGTCCATTTTTACCAAGGTGCCAAACTGAGTAATGTACTGCAACACACAGCTCAGCTTGCTCTTTCCTAGGAAAATCATCAAAATAACTGGAAACACAAAATGGTTTTAAGACACATTCTGTTGGATCTGGTGCCTTTTTTTTCTTAGTAGATGAATGGCCAGATCCATCCCTTGGTACCAGTGCCCTGGCTTGAGTGTATCGTACTCCAATGACACAAGTGAGTTGTGCGCATTTTGATGAAAATTGTCCCTCTCAGTGCCATATGCTGAATGATTCTATTTTCCCTTGGCTTTGCCTTAACCCTCCTATGGTTTTACAGCACAAATGTGCACAAATGCCCACAGTCACTGGTGAGCATGTAGTTTCA